TTATAACTGGTTTTGACTTTCATCCATTTAAAACCGTTGTTGAGATTAAGGAAAGATAGACACACAGACTACAGTGGGAATTTATAGGCCTACAAATTTTTCAAATATCAGTTCCAATTTAATGTTTTAATTACAGTTTTCAGGATATTTTATTAAATTTTTTCATTTTCAATATATTATCATATTTGTACTGTTCACGTATGAAAAACGAATGGTTTTAAAATACAAACTGCAGAAAGTTTTAAGTTTTAGAGAGTAAATAAAACAGAAAATATTGCAGAAAACTAAAGCGAGTATAAAAGATGAAAATTTGTTTTGTTTTCTGAGCATAAAAATGTCGTAAAAACGAAATGCTCGACGTTTATGTCGCAATAGGCAGAAAAGGAAAGTAAATAGACATCAATACGTCATCGTTTATAATTACATACAGAATTAACGTCCCCATGACACATCAGTTTCTTACCAGAAAATAATAATCATACAAATATATTTAAAAAATAATTTTACATACCTGTCTATATTAAACTTTACAAAAACTCTAATAAATAAAACTATTTAGAATTAATGAGTACAAATTATTCGAAGTTTTATTTTTTTATAAATATTCCTCGTTATTGGAAAAGGAATCTACATGTAGCCTAAATAGAATTTTCTATTTTTCATTCATTTTCTTTTTTTATTTATAAATACATTAGAAATAGGCTTTATTCAAAGATGATTTAAGTTATATTGGATACATAAATAGAAGTTTTTCTTTCTAAACATAGTTATTTAACTCTTATAACAAAATCCCACAAAACGTTAAGCAAAAGTAGATCTATATGTTGCGAAGTATAATTACAAAGAATGTTTTATATTTTTAATTATTATAAAATGGCACAAAGCTAAATTTTGAGGGTAGGGATGAGTTTAGGAAAAATTGTAAATGCTAGTAACAGGTAAAGTTATAATTAAGTCCGATTCTACTCGAGATACGACACACGACCCTATGTATTTTCCTATCCCTCCAACATTTAATTAATCACGAAAATTTAACAGCATTATACTCTCTAATGCACAAACCTTCCTGCTAAATTTCAGAATTTATTTGTAAAAGACAAAGGAGTTATAAAGCTTTAAAAAAATAAACAAAATCGTGACTCCCCATATACACACCAACATCCATTTCATACGTACAGAAAAACACCCAATTGTTTTTCATTTCTGGACGCCTTACAATGCAATACATTTGCATCAGTCCCGTGTTGAAAACGCCTTACAGCATTCTAAAACGTTTTGAACACGTAATTGATGTAAATGGATTGCACATTGAACAAATGTCGTGAATAAAAACCTTTTGCGTGTTTCCATTTCGTGTTTCTCGTTCTTCATGCGCCATTTTTCACCTAGTGGTAAAATTCGAACTAAATATTTTCTTTTTGCATTTCCCTATTCCCCATGGTCCATATAACATATATACCAAGTTTCATCAAAATATGTTCAGGAGAACGGGCTCTAGACAGGTCTGAGTAGCGCAACTCTAATTATAATCACCCTGTAGTGTATATGAAATCGCCAGCTATTTCTGAAACTTATAAAATTAACTATAATTTTAACTACAGTATAAAACTAATATACTCTAAACGACCTGCCAGATTATTTTCCGGATATAATTTAATTTAAAATTAATTATTAAAATTAATCAAATTCGGTTTATAATTTGACAAATTATTAAAATTTGTCAAATTATAGACTGAAAATAATTCGTCAAATCGTTTGTGTTATGTTAAATATTTCGGGTTAATTGATGTAATGTTTATACATAAAATTAATAATGAAATTTATACAACACTTTTAATAATTTCAAAACTTATATGAAAAATCCAGTGTTATATTTCAAAAACAGTTACAATTTTTATTCCTTAATCTCGAGAACGGAGTTAGATAGATGAAAGGCGAGACCAGATATGCACAGCTTAGGGGAAAGAGGCCCAATTAACTATATAAGAAATAAGTTTTGAACTGGAAGAACGTGACATTCGGTCTAGTCATGTTATTTCAATTCAAAACTTTTCACCTTTAAAGTGTGAGATCACCGGTACGACTCTATTGCTAACAGGAAAAGTATAATGTACAAGGGAAAGACACTACTAATTTGAGGTAGAGAGCATATATTTTAAATTAAATAATTTAAAAATATGGTTAAAAGTTGCAGCCCGGCATTGTAATTATGTCATAATAAATAAGTGCTTGTTTAATTTACGTTCTAATTTTTTTAGTCGCCTTTCCATATTAATACACTGCAACAAGTTTAAAATCACTTTAACTAGGAATTCGCGAAACTTTGTCGTATCGCTGTAGAATTGAAGCGAAGCCGGAAATAAATGATCCCTGTACAGTACTTGTTAGACACAGACGAGGCGATCCTTGTGTCTAATGGACGTGCACAGGCACTTGCGCTACAAAAGAGGTTATTCTTGAACCTGCCACCCATGAAAGACAATCATTTCATTGGCGAGATACAGAAAGACGTTTCTTGCATATACCGACATCCAAGAACAAAGCAATAGATAATGATCGCTTTGTTCTTGTGTTTTGTTTGTTTTCCTCGCCTATTTTCCGTTAAACGTAAGCCACACTGTTTTTAGTTTTGATCCATAGATCTAAATTAGTGATGTGCCGGATATCCGTATCCGTATCCGCGGATATCCGAGGGAAAAAAAAGATCCGTATCCGTATCCGTATCCGTTACTTTTTAGCGGATCTTTAACGGATCTTTTATCTTAATGATTTTCATTACTTATATGAAATTTTAAAGAGAGAGAGCAATAAAATACTAACAACTTCAATTCAAATCACTTTTTATTTATTAAAATCACATATTTGGCACTTTTATATTGCAAAAATTAAATATTTAAACATTAATTATAAGTTACCAGTATAAGGTATTAATTTAACTATCTTTATAGTGAGATCAAACCTCTAATGCTAATTGAAATAATCATCACGGTTATATTATATTATAATAATTATCAAAGAATTTTAATTATCAAATTATCAGATAAAATAATCACAATTTTAGAAACTTCAAAAAAATTAAATGTCATAATCAAAATTAATTAATGGTAAATTGTACTTCAAAAAGAGTAACTTGGCAGCTTTATCCCCCAAAAGTCTATTACGATGAGGATCGTAAATAATTCCTGCTACACTGAAAAACTGCTCACTTCGAACGCTTGTTGCAGGTGACGATAAATATGTGAGAGCCATTTGACTAAGACCTCATTTAATACGCGAATAACGACATTTAGACTCTAAATGAAAGACCGCGAATAACGACATTTAGTGTCTAAATGACGTTATTCGCGCCCAGTCGCATCAGAGAGCATACATGTTACTTTAATACATTTTTACATCGAAAACGAAGTCGTAGACTCCTATTTATACTTTACTGGCTCTGTTATACATAACAGAGAAAAAATATGGCGATCCGTCAAAAGATGACCGCTTAAGATTAAAAAGTTTTTGGACTCAGAAGACATCGAAACATCGAGAAATGCGAAAACATTCGTTTATTTCTGTATGTATGGATGTTAATGTGCGTGTGAAGGGCATGATTTTATTTACTCTCTTTGAATGTTAATAACTTCCATGCTTTTTGTCGAAAATTTTTGAAATTTTACATAGAGGTTTGTGTATTAGAAAGATTTGTGCTGTTAAATTTTGGTGGTTTAAGTTCGATGGAGTGAGGTGATAATGGGTAGTCGTCTGTCGTATCTCGAGTCGGGTCGGACTTAATGACTATTTTACTCGTTAATAGCATTTCAATTGTTTTTTATAAAACCCATCCCTACCTTCAAAATTAAGCATTTTGCCATTTTATAATAATTAAAAATGCAAACAGTTTATAAATGAAATATTGTAACAAATCGTGCCAACAGAATTTTAATTGTTGCATAAAGTTAAGCGAGTCGTTGCTGGATTTTTTACATTTAAATGACCGACATTACATTTCTGGATTCCTCGTATCAATTAATGGGAAATGACAAACTTTAGTCAAAATCTATCGATCGGACTTTAAGAACGAACACAATTCTGTAAGCCTTATAGAAGTAGCTTCGCTAATAAATTTCAGTTTTAATTATAGAAACCGATATTGTTGTATCATTACATTTAATGAAGCTACTAAAGGTACTCTGTCATCAAAACAATAAAACTACAATTTTTTATCGTGAAACTTAAAATATTACTCCAAAAGAGTTTGATTTATTATTTGTAAATTAATATTATAATTTTTCTATTTCCGCTCTGAGGAATTTACAAAATATTAATTATTATTTTAGGAATATTAAAAAATTAACAAATAAAATTAAAATGTTTATCTGTTTACTTTTTAATTCACATCACAAGCTATGAGGCTTTCATAAGCCTGCTAATTATGATGATAATTATATTTACGTACTCAAAAATACACAATATTAACTATATTATATTACTTTTGTAATGTTATTTTACCAATATATGTTAACAACTTCAATTAATTAATCATGGAAAAATACGCCTTTTTCTAATAACGCTACGTTGTTGTAATAAACACTACGTTGCATTTTTCTCTTACTGGAAACTTACTTTTCATGCTTAATAAATTAGAATCACTTTCTAGTTGATGTTATTCTGCCTTCTGGTATTATAACAGTGTTACAGAAGCTACTTCACGAAGCAAATTCAACAATAATTCAAAATATTATGAATGACATAACAGATGAAGAGTATAAGTAAGTTCATTTTTATAAAATATATATTATCGATTCGATATTATGTTTTAAATTTACTACAGTGAGGAATTAAAAAAAGAAAATTCCGATGTAACGGATATAATTGGATACTGGGGAAAATGGCACCTACTATACTTCTCAATTTTGTTAATTTCAAGCTGTTGTATTGGATGGTTTAATTTTAGTGTAATATTCATGGCGCCGAACATTGATTATTGGTGTGCGAAGCCATCAAAATTTTCGAATATGACTACAGAAGAATGGAAAAATTTCAGCATTCCTTTAGAAAGAATTGGCAGTAAACAAGTGTATAGTAAATGTGAAATGTATAGTTTATCATCTGGAAAGAATAGAACCCGAATTCCATGCACGTCGTGGGAATACGATCATTCCTTTTATGCATCCACTATAACTGAGAAAGTGAGAAAATTTTCAATTTTAATACCGTTTTTATAACTTATGGCTCCTGTAAATACTGAGAATTTTTATTTAGTTGATTCCAATAGTAGTTAAGTATACTTATAAGTTACTATTGGAAGAACGATGCTATTTAAATGAAATTAAAAATAACTACTTCCTCTACTATTATATTCCCGGATCTGTTATAATAATAGGGAAAGTACGGCGATCGCTCAAGAAATGACACACTTCAGATTTTAACATTTTTGCACTCAGGGGTCTTAAAACATTGACAAATAAAAAAATTCGGGGTTTTCTCTGTTTGTGCTTGTGTGTGTGAGGCAGGGTTTTGTTCACCCTATTTGAAGTTTAATAACTCCTTTGCTTTTTATACAAAATTTCTGAAATTTTGCAGAGAGATTTGAGTATTAGGGGAATTGATGCTATTAACTATTGATGAATAAAGGGCTAGGGTATGGGGAGTCGTGTGCCATATTTTCAGTAGAGTGAAACTTAATGACGATTTTACTCGTTATTAGCATTTACGTTTTCTTTATAAAATCCATTTCTAACTTGAAAATCAGACATTTGCTATTTTATAATAGTTAAAATTACAAAAGTTTTTAAAATAAAAGATCATAACAGATGGCATAATACACCGTAGTTTTAAATGTTACCTTAAAAGTTAAGTAACTCGTTGCTAGGTGTTTTTAACCAATTGATTTGAATAATAGAGTATAGACTAGTGGTTCTCAACCTGTTTTGTTCATATACCCCATTAGTCCATTAGTTGTTTCTCAAGTACTACTTATATTTTTGTATGTAAATTTTATAATTACTGCGTTAGATGNAAAATACTAATAACTTTAATTTAAATCACTTTTTATTTCTTAAAATCACATACTTGGCACATTCATATTGCAAAAATTAAATATTTAAACATTAATTATAGTAGGTTACCAGTATAAGGTATTAATTTAACTATCTTTATAGTGAGATCAAACCTCTCATGCTATTTGAAATAATCATCACGGTTATATCATATTATATTACAATAATTATCAAATTATCAGATAAAATAATCACATTTTATAAACTTCAAAAAATTAAATGTCATAATCAAAATTAATTAATGGTAAATTGTACTTCAAAAAGAGTAACTTGGCAGCTTTATCCCCCAAAAGTCTATTACGATGAGGATCGTAAATAATTCCTGCTACACTGAAAAACTGCTCACTTCGAACGCTTGTTGCAGGTGACGATAAATATGTGAGAGCCATTTGACTAAGACCTCATTTAATACGCGAATAACGACATTTAGACTCTAAATGAAAGACCGCGAATAACGACATTTAGTGTCTAAATGACGTTATTCGCGCCCAGTCGCATCAGAGAGCATACATGTTACTTTAATACATTTTTACATCGAAAACGAAGTCGTAGACTCCTATTTATACTTTACTGGCTCTGTTATACATAACAGAGAAAAAATATGGCGATCCGTCAAAAGATGACCGCTTAAGATTAAAAAGTTTTTGGACTCAGAAGACATCGAAACATCGAGAAATGCGAAAACATTCGTTTATTTCTGTATGTATGGATGTTAATGTGCGTGTGAAGGGCATGATTTTATTTACTCTCTTTGAATGTTAATAACTTCCATGCTTTTTGTCGAAAATTTTTGAAATTTTACATAGAGGTTTGTGTATTAGAAAGATTTGTGCTGTTAAATTTTGGTGGTTTAAGTTCGATGGAGTGAGGTGATAATGGGTAGTCGTCTGTCGTATCTCGAGTCGGGTCGGACTTAATGACTATTTTACTCGTTAATAGCATTTCAATTGTTTTTTATAAAACCCATCCCTACCTTCAAAATTAAGCATTTTGCCATTTTATAATAATTAAAAATGCAAACAGTTTATAAATGAAATATTGTAACAAATCGTGCCAACAGAATTTTAATTGTTGCATAAAGTTAAGCGAGTCGTTGCTGGATTTTTTACATTTAAATGACCGACATTACATTTCTGGATTCCTCGTATCAATTAATGGGAAATGACAAACTTTAGTCAAAATCTATCGATCGGACTTTAAGAACGAACACAATTCTGTAAGCCTTATAGAAGTAGCTTCGCTAATAAATTTCAGTTTTAATTATAGAAACCGATATTGTTGTATCATTACATTTAATGAAGCTACTAAAGGTACTCTGTCATCAAAACAATAAAACTACAATTTTTTATCGTGAAACTTAAAATATTACTCCAAAAGAGTTTGATTTATTATTTGTAAATTAATATTATAATTTTTCTATTTCCGCTCTGAGGAATTTACAAAATATTAATTATTATTTTAGGAATATTAAAAAATTAACAAATAAAATTAAAATGTTTATCTGTTTACTTTTTAATTCACATCACAAGCTATGAGGCTTTCATAAGCCTGCTAATTATGATGATAATTATATTTACGTACTCAAAAATACACAATATTAACTATATTATATTACTTTTGTAATGTTATTTTACCAATATATGTTAACAACTTCAATTAATTAATCATGGAAAAATACGCCTTTTTCTAATAACGCTACGTTGTTGTAATAAACACTACGTTGCATTTTTCTCTTACTGGAAACTTACTTTTCATGCTTAATAAATTAGAATCACTTTCTAGTTGATGTTATTCTGCCTTCTGGTATTATAACAGTGTTACAGAAGCTACTTCACGAAGCAAATTCAACAATAATTCAAAATATTATGAATGACATAACAGATGAAGAGTATAAGTAAGTTCATTTTTATAAAATATATATTATCGATTCGATATTATGTTTTAAATTTACTACAGTGAGGAATTAAAAAAAGAAAATTCCGATGTAACGGATATAATTGGATACTGGGGAAAATGGCACCTACTATACTTCTCAATTTTGTTAATTTCAAGCTGCTGTATTGGATGGTTTAATTTTAGTGTAATATTCATGGCGCCGAACATTGATTATTGGTGTGCGAAGCCATCAAAATTTTCGAATATGACTACAGAAGAATGGAAAAATTTCAGCATTCCTTTAGAAAGAATTGGCAGTAAACAAGTGTATAGTAAATGTGAAATGTATAGTTTATCATCTGGAAAGAATAGAACCCGAATTCCATGCACGTCGTGGGAATACGATCATTCCTTTTATGCATCCACTATAACTGAGAAAGTGAGTAAATTTTCAATTTTAATACCGTTTTTATAACTTATGGCTCCTGTAAATACTGAGAATTTTTATTTAGTTGATTCCAATAGTAGTTAAGTATACTTATAAGTTACTATTGGAAGAACGATGCTATTTAAATGAAATTAAAAATAACTACTTCCTCTACTATTATATTCCCGGATCTGTTATAATAATAGGGAAAGTACGGCGATCGCTCAAGAAATGACACACTTCAGATTTTAACATTTTTGCACTCAGGGGTCTTAAAACATTGACAAATAAAAAAATTCGGGGTTTTCTCTGTTTGTGCTTGTGTGTGTGAGGCAGGGTTTTGTTCACCCTATTTGAAGTTTAATAACTCCTTTGCTTTTTATACAAAATTTCTGAAATTCTGCAGAGAGATTTGAGTATTAGGGGAATTGATGCTATTAACTATTGATGAATAAAGGGCTAGGGTATGGGGAGTCGTGTGCCATATTTTCAGTAGAGTGAAACTTAATGACGATTTTACTCGTTATTAGCATTTACGTTTTCTTTATAAAATCCATTTCTAACTTGAAAATCAGACATTTGCTATTTTATAATAGTTAAAATTACAAAAGTTTTTAAAATAAAAGATCATAACAGATGGCATAATACACCGTAGTTTTAAATGTTACCTTAAAAGTTAAGTAACTCGTTGCTAGGTGTTTTTAACCAATTGATTTGAATAATAGAGTATAGACTAGTGGTTCTCAACCTGTTTTGCTCATATACCCCATTAGTCCATTAGTTGTTTCTCAAGTACTACTTATATTTTTGTATGTAAATTTTATAATTACTGCGTTAGATGTATACAGTACTTATACCTGAGCGCGAAAAAAAACTCTATTTCAATACATGCATAAATTACATTTTCTAAAAATAAATAATAATAATTAACAATAAAGAAAATTTAAATTATTCTACAATAATTTCTAACAAAATTTAATGGGATATTTGTTGCGATAAATTTTCCGCAATTTTTTTTTGAAAATTTGGTTCTGGCGTTCTTAAATAGAGATTATAATTGTGTACTGACCTTGAAAGTAATGGCTGCGAATTTATAATGTGCAGAATAATACATGAATCTTTCAATTTTTGTAACAAATATAATGTCTAAATTTGCTAAATATCAAGTAATGCACGCATGCAATGACACGCACTGCATGAAGGGGATACGATACAGGCCTCATTATTCCTAATGTCAGTAGTCCAGTAAAAACATGAAAAGCCCCAATCTTGTCGAGCAATAATTATAGAATAGAAAATAAATTTTTTTTCTACAATTAATGCTCGGTTAAACCGTAATTTTACTAGACTACAGGTTCACTCGGCACTAATGGCACAAATAGGCAGGCAAATCAAGTGGATAAACAAGTTGTTTAGACTGTTAAAAAAATCGGTGTTCACANGTAGATCTATATGTTGCGAAGTATAATTACAAAGAATGTTTTATATTTTTAATTATTATAAAATGGCACAAAGCTAAATTTTGAGGGTAGGGATGAGTTTAGGAAAAATTGTAAATGCTAGTAACAGGTAAAGTTATAATTAAGTCCGATTCTACTCGAGATACGACACACGACCCTATGTATTTTCCTATCCCTCCAACATTTAATTAATCACGAAAATTTAACAGCATTATACTCTCTAATGCACAAACCTTCCTGCTAAATTTCAGAATTTATTTGTAAAAGACAAAGGAGTTATAAAGCTTTAAAAAAATAAACAAAATCGTGACTCCCCATATACACACCAACATCCATTTCATACGTACAGAAAAACACCCAATTGTTTTTCATTTCTGGACGCCTTACAATGCAATACATTTGCATCAGTCCCGTGTTGAAAACGCCTTACAGCATTCTAAAACGTTTTGAACACGTAATTGATGTAAATGGATTGCACATTGAACAAATGTCGTGAATAAAAACCTTTTGCGTGTTTCCATTTCGTGTTTCTCGTTCTTCATGCGCCATTTTTCACCTAGTGGTAAAATTCGAACTAAATATTTTCTTTTTGCATTTCCCTATTCCCCATGGTCCATATAACATATATACCAAGTTTCATCAAAATATGTTCAGGAGAACGGGCTCTAGACAGGTCTGAGTAGCGCAACTCTAATTATAATCACCCTGTAGTGTATATGAAATCGCCAGCTATTTCTGAAACTTATAAAATTAACTATAATTTTAACTACAGTATAAAACTAATATACTCTAAACGACCTGCCAGATTATTTTCCGGATATAATTTAATTTAAAATTAATTATTAAAATTAATCAAATTCGGTTTATAATTTGACAAATTATTAAAATTTGTCAAATTATAGACTGAAAATAATTCGTCAAATCGTTTGTGTTATGTTAAATATTTCGGGTTAATTGATGTAATGTTTATACATAAAATTAATAATGAAATTTATACAACACTTTTAATAATTTCAAAACTTATATGAAAAATCCAGTGTTATATTTCAAAAACAGTTACAATTTTTATTCCTTAATCTCGAGAACGGAGTTAGATAGATGAAAGGCGAGACCAGATATGCACAGCTTAGGGGAAAGAGGCCCAATTAACTATATAAGAAATAAGTTTTGAACTGGAAGAACGTGACATTCGGTCTAGTCATGTTATTTCAATTCAAAACTTTTCACCTTTAAAGTGTGAGATCACCGGTACGACTCTATTGCTAACAGGAAAAGTATAATGTACAAGGGAAAGACACTACTAATTTGAGGTAGAGAGCATATATTTTAAATTAAATAATTTAAAAATATGGTTAAAAGTTGCAGCCCGGCATTGTAATTATGTCATAATAAATAAGTGCTTGTTTAATTTACGTTCTAATTTTTTTAGTCGCCTTTCCATATTAATACACTGCAACAAGTTTAAAATCACTTTAACTAGGAATTCGCGAAACTTTGTCGTATCGCTGTAGAATTGAAGCGAAGCCGGAAATAAATGATCCCTGTACAGTACTTGTTAGACACAGACGAGGCGATCCTTGTGTCTAATGGACGTGCACAGGCACTTGCGCTACAAAAGAGGTTATTCTTGAACCTGCCACCCATGAAAGACAATCATTTCATTGGCGAGATACAGAAAGACGTTTCTTGCATATACCGACATCCAAGAACAAAGCAATAGATAATGATCGCTTTGTTCTTGTGTTTTGTTTGTTTTCCTCGCCTATTTTCCGTTAAACGTAAGCCACACTGTTTTTAGTTTTGATCCATAGATCTAAATTAGTGATGTGCCGGATATCCGTATCCGTATCCGCGGATATTCGAGGGAAAAAAAAAGATCCGTATCCGTTACTTTTTAGCGGATCTTTAACGGATCTTTTATCTTAATTAATTTCATTACTTATATGAAATTTTAAAGAGAGAGAGCAATAAAATACTAACAACTTCAATTCAAATCACTTTTTATTTATTAAAATCACATATTTGGCACTTTTATATTGCAAAAATTAAATATTTAAACATTAATTATAAGTTACCAGTATAAGGTATTAATTTAACTATCTTTATAGTGAGATCAAACCTCTAATGCTAATTGAAATAATCATCACGGTTATATTATATTATAATAATTATCAAAGAATTTTAATTATCAAATTATCAGATAAAATAATCACAATTTTAGAAACTTCAAAAAAATTAAATGTCATAATCAAAATTAATTAATGGTAAATTGTACTTCAAAAAGAGTAACTTGGCAGCTTTATCCCCCAAAAGTCTATTACGATGAGGATCGTAAATAATTCCTGCTACACTGAAAAACTGCTCACTTCGAACGCTTGTTGCAGGTGACGATAAATATGTGAGAGCCATTTGACTAAGACCTCATTTAATACGCGAATAACGACATTTAGACTCTAAATGAAAGACCGCGAATAACGACATTTAGTGTCTAAATGACGTTATTCGCGCCCAGTCGCATCAGAGAGCATACATGTTACTTTAATACATTTTTACATCGAAAACGAAGTCGTAGACTCCTATTTATACTTTACTGGCTCTGTTATACATAACAGAGAAAAAATATGGCGATCCGTCAAAAGATGACCGCTTAAGATTAAAAAGTTTTTGGACTCAGAAGACATCGAAACATCGAGAAATGCGAAAACATTCGTTTATTTCTGTATGTATGGATGTTAATGTGCGTGTGAAGGGCATGATTTTATTTACTCTCTTTGAATGTTAATAACTTCCATGCTTTTTGTCGAAAATTTTTGAAATTTTACATAGAGGTTTGTGTATTAGAAAGATTTGTGCTGTTAAATTTTGGTGGTTTAAGTTCGATGGAGTGAGGTGATAATGGGTAGTCGTCTGTCGTATCTCGAGTCGGGTCGGACTTAATGACTATTTTACTCGTTAATAGCATTTCAATTGTTTTTTATAAAACCCATCCCTACCTTCAAAATTAAGCATTTTGCCATTTTATAATAATTAAAAATGCAAACAGTTTATAAATGAAATATTGTAACAAATCGTGCCAACAGAATTTTAATTGTTGCATAAAGTTAAGCGAGTCGTTGCTGGATTTTTTACATTTAAATGACCGACATTACATTTCTGGATTCCTCGTATCAATTAATGGGAAATGACAAACTTTAGTCAAAATCTATCGATCGGACTTTAAGAACGAACACAATTCTGTAAGCCTTATAGAAGTAGCTTCGCTAATAAATTTCAGTTTTAATTATAGAAACCGATATTGTTGTATCATTACATTTAATGAAGCTACTAAAGGTACTCTGTCATCAAAACAATAAAACTACAATTTTTTATCGTGAAACTTAAAATATTACTCCAAAAGAGTTTGATTTATTACTGTATTTGTAAATTAATATTATAATTTTTCTATTTCTACTTTGAGGAATTTACAAAATATTAATTATTATTTTAGGAATATTAAAAAACTAACAAATAAAATTAAAAAGTTTATCTGTTTACTTTTTAATTCACATCACA